CAATGCTACCACACAGAAATGGTACGATACTGAAGGCTCTCACTACCGTCATAGTATCGACAGTGATGTTGCTTTAGTACTACTCACTCATAGAGCAGAGGAATACACACCATACCCCATCACCACAGCACTGCATCACAAAATTGTCACAACTGTATCAACGGTCGTATGAATCGAGAGCGTCGGCAGCGCAACTAAGATGTGGGTATAAACGAAATTGTTCGTGGACGACCACAAAGGCCAAAGAAAACCACTATTGAGGTTATCTTGTGAACGATGATGGTCAACAGCAGGCATGATGGAGGGATTGGCAGCAACTGGTGCATCTTCTAGAATTACTCCAGAAGAGGATTCTTACGGATGGGGCTCATGAGAGGTACCATCTGGTGCATGTAGACGAAGGCCCAACTGAAAGGGAGAAGAAGGATGAGGGAATAGGTGGATGGGCAGAGATGCACTTACAACATCCACATGCAAATGGTCGTGAGCCACACAAGAAGAATGGAGAGTCTAATGCCTGAAGGAGGGATGGTATTCACCAACAACGCGAGTTCACTTACTCTCGCCCTTGGTTATCTTGGGGGTCTCCTTAGCAAACAGGATGGGGGCCACGAAAGTGAACACCACTCCCAATACGGCAAAGATGATGGTACCGGTGATAAGACCTGTTGGGTATGATAAAAGTCCAGTTAAAGTAAACGCCCCTTACCAGGAGCATGGAATCCGAGAGAGGCGGGTGCTGCAGCGACGACACTCATGATGGAGAAGAAGACAGTTCCGAAGAAGTGTGAGAAAGCAAAAAAAAAACTCCTGGAATGATGAATCGCATTATGACCCACTTGTCTTCAAGCCATTCCTACTACTTCAGCTACGGGAGCTTGTCAGTAAATTTCGTCAAAAATGGTTTAGGAAACCACTAAGTTAAGCTGAGGACTCTTCGTATGAAAGGGGAATCTCAAGAGAGCAAGATTCAAGTTGAATCATTCAACTACGCACGCCAAACGTGGTGAAACTCCGCACTTGTGCTGCTTTTTCTCCTGCTGAGGTGGATCAGAGTTCACTTTACTGTTCGGAATTATTCTGCCGGAGAAGATCGCATCTCGCCTTGCCAGAACTCCAATCTTCCAGCGTCATTTTTGCACGAGCAGGAACGAAATCGCAGCTACGTAAAGCGAATTGAGATGCGACTCAAAATTTGAAGGCAGCAGTATTGGACTACAATTATATCCAATCCATAGTAGTCGCATACCTGACATCACAGAAGATTCATCTCACTCGACGTTTTCCGAGAATCCAAGAATCGCGCTAGACAGGTTGGCATGGGTACATATGGCTTAGCTCTCCATGCATGGCTTAATCCTCTGCTTACGACAGACGCCGTTCTTAATGTGGCGTATATGCGTCAGGCGAATTCGGCCTCATTGACAGTGAAATCAGACTTCCTGTCGTGTGCTCTGCCGAAATTGATTGAACTTATCTTGTGATATCTTGTGGTATCTTGTGGTTATGGCATGGGCGTTCTCTCGATGGAATTAATGTCATTAAAAGCACAACAGACCATTGGAAAGTATAGCCGAACCTTCCATACGATCTGCAAGGATCTTCGCTATAAAACTCTGAGTTCTGAAGTCGAGCCCGGGTCGTGTCACAACTTTTGATTCATATATTAGGAATTCTCACTATGTTTCATGAGTGTGGGAGTATCTCAGAATTGTGTCGGGGTTGTGGTTGAGGGAGGCCTCGATGTGGATGATGCTCCTTGCTCTCAGTCTTCCTAGTAAGACGGCCATCCAAATGTCGCCGAAAGAAGATATTCAAGAAGTGGTCGGCAGAGGGCTGAGTTTGATACTCTTGTTAATGGCAGGTATGTGAACGGACCATCCATGCTTTACGGGACGATTCAAGGTATGCATCTTGGCTTGGATGCTACCTATACGTCGTTCCGCACGACTATTGGGAAAAGCAGCATACCGGGGTACCCAGTCGTGAATCACTCATTCTTGACAAAACATAACCTTGGTCAACTTGGATGTGAAATTGCGACCACCATCACTCACAGACCTACGTGGCCATCCTATCCGGTTCGAAAAAAATGCCGGAAATCACTCCGACCAACTCTACCGCTTCCAAAGATATGAAAGGAGATAACCAGCAGAAGCCACGTAAGCTATCTTCTATTACCAGCAGATACCGGTAACCAAACCACTCTTCAAGCAGGATATCAACACTATCAGCATAAACTGTGGACCACACACCACTGAGGTCTAACGTCGACTGACCATCTTAATTTTTTCCACCTCCACACTGTATAAGGTTAACTCAGTAAACTCAACTGGCGTTGCGAAAACAGTTCTCGCATTGGTTCAGTGTTGTTGTTCAAACTTAGATATGCTGTGATATCTGGCATTTCCCGAAGCTTTTGTCGTATATTACTCACCATAGGAATGCCTAACACGTACCCGCCTACTCAGTCCAGCACGAAAACCCGTCAGGGCGAACAGACTTCAAAAGATTATCGTGTCGAAGCACTTCCAATGAATAGCCGTGAGGCTCGCTACAGCGAAGCACAGATGAGGAGTCGTGCAGTGAGGCAAATGGAAATCCCTCGCTGTCGAATGATTGTTGCCAGATCCCACGGATGCCACAAATGATGGGCATCCCTGAGAGGTAACCTCACCTCTGGGCTCCAACATGAAAGGTTGAGTCGATCTCCCTCAGCCCCTCCCCTTCAAGACCAAAGAAGTCGCCTTTCAGAGACGACAGTGAGGCCGAAAGGCGGGGTTACCTCGAACGAAGGCCACGCTTTCAGGCGAATTGATTGAGAGCTGCCGAGGAACACCTCTCCACGACATGTACCTCCAGGCTGAGCAGTTACTGTCAGGATTGGAAGATACCCCTGATAAGCAATCAATGACCATGAAGAAGGTAGGCCTCATCCGGGCACGGGTGTATCCCTCTGTTCTTCAGGCATTGACTGAACTCGTCGAAGTTGGTGCATCAGAACTGGTCAGACGGGCAAAGGTAACCGATGCAGGTCTGACGGAGTGCTTCGACCATCATTCAGTTTGATGAGGAGACCACACGGCAGCGGGAATCAGTAGAGAAACGTAAAGTCCGAGAGGCCAGGAGACGAGTTAGAGAAGAATTCCTTATGGGATGGAGCGTGATACACGAAGACTCGAGGTGGAGTACCACCGTGCTAGTACTCCTAACTCTGGTTTGAACCATTCAGTGTCCTCTACACTAGCACATCTCGTGCTCCTAAAGGCCATCGACAAGCGCATGTGCGGCGGTCTACGCGTCATCAGAGAGCCCGGGAGGCCGCTTAACTCTTGCTGGGGGCGAATATTCATCCCAATGGTCGCCTGGTCCGATAGGCTCCTCAGATTCCATAAACGGCTCTGCTGCTCGCTGAGCAGCACACACTATATATCTGTGTTATTAGTCTATATTATAGACTCTATAACACATCATTTATATCATATATATTGCCATGTATCACCACACAGTACGTGCTTTTCATTGAGGAAGTTGTTGAGTCATTTCAAGCCGATGGGCGAAACAGCCGGTAGTTGGCTTTTCATCAGACCAATCAATAGCACTTCGGAAACGATCGATATCGGATACGGTGAGGGTCCTGCTCCATGGTGGGTCCGATATTATCCGATATTATTTGATATCTCGTAGGCTCCTATCAACTCTTATCTCCTCAATTTGGTCGTATTCGTTGTGTGTAACCCTGGGTGTAACCATTAGACTAAACTTATCGTGCATCACACGAGGCACTGTTGTCTTTTGGAGGACTCTTTCGGCCATGCCGTAGGGCATGGCAGCAGAGCCTCATCAAATCTTGGCCTATGGTTTGTACGGCGATACCGTTACGTTGTGGTTGCCGGTACGACTCCTCTAATGGTCGTCATAAAGCGGACTCCGCAGAGGCACCGTCCACTGATTAGCTCAATAACTTCTTCTGTGAAATGTACCGTACGGATCAAGCTGCTGACACTGTCATCATTGCCAAGGATCATGAAGTGATTCTGCTTTTCGCCGATCAAGGCAGCGTGGTTCAGTCCTCGAGCAAATGAATAACTGCTTGTTCGTCGTTGAGTTCTCCACCTTCCAGTCGTGTTCAGATATATGAAGAAGAACGTACGCATCGAGAATCTACTTTGCAAGTAGCAACTTGAGAAGCGACATATGTCCGCCGTCACGGTACTGCCGTGTTGGAGGAAGTTTTCAAGCTGAGGCATTTTTCATCCTTCCCAGCATATTTTTCTCCAACCTAATACTACTGAGCCAGTAGGCTTTCTATCCATGAGGACAGGCTTAGGATGATACGGTTATTTTTGGCTCGATGGTACAACCGCTATGCGAAATTCATTTTCCTTCTACACAACAACTAACACGAAGACATTCTCGGCAGGGGATGAATCGTTGATAGAACCTTTGAGGTGTGATTCACACCGTGTGAATTGTGTTTTTCTTCGATGATTTTGAGCTCACAACGCTATCTGTATCGTGATGAATAACGAGGATGACCTAGGGCGTCCTCTTCGCAGCAGATCGAAAAGTGTAATCACAAACAAATAAACCCACCATCACTGATGAGAGGGTACTGAATTAGGTGAGATAGCTCGACTAGATAACGATGAGCAAGCTATTGTTATTCCGTTGAGCCTTAGTCACCAGTAAAGACCTGCCGCCTTTATCGCGACTTACATCCCATCAAGAGGATTCACGATGATTCCCCTAGACAACCTTCTCCAAAAATAATCGCTCTTGTCTGGAATCACTACACAGCACTCCCTCAATTGAGCAACACGGTAAACTACTCATTGAGAAGAAAATGAAACCTCAATAGAGAGAAAAGGGCAAGAGATCCTCACATTTTAAGCGAGTCTTACGATCATTGCCGACAGTATGTAACTTAAGGGTAGATAGTGAGTTACTGAGTCATCACTTCGTGCTTCTCTTCCCAAAGCTTAACAGCTGGATGGGTCTTGATAGCGTCGAAAACGCGCGCTATTTTGGTGTAGGGTGTAAATAGATCTTCTGGGAGACCGCCCACGAAGGGGAGATG